AATTTTTCTTTAAAGTAAAGAATGCGTAGAAAAGATTGTTGATAATATAAATTTTGTTTCCCACCAACCTGACAACACTTAAGATCAACAAAATTATTTTTATTCGTTCAGTAGCACGCAGATAAGCGTGTCCATATTCCAGTATAAGTGTATCTCCATTGTAGCTTAACTAATTATCAGGTATGCTGTGCAAACTGAATCGTCACTTATTTAGCATACTCATCACTCACCTTTATTTTTTTCTTTCTGTCTTCCACCTTTAGTCAAGAGTTAGCTGACTATTGTAAACCTTTCCTATTGTCTATCATTTATGGATATGATATTTTTGCGCGTATGAACAAATCAACAATATCTGATTTCAAATGGCGTTTACTTGACGCTTTATCAATTTGTAAAGTACCGAAACATCGTCTCCTAAGTCGCGGAATATTTGTATGTATGCGCCGTTATCTGTTTAAGTGGTGCTTACCAAACTGTTTTTATAGAGGATCTCTAACAACTGTTGGGAATGATACTCTTTTACTGGATACAGATACTCAAGAGCGTCTGATTCATTCCATCCCACAACTTGGACATGATGATGAGGAAATGCGAGTTTGTTTATCACAACAGGGAAATTCCTCTAATCCAGGTAAATTATTCTTTCTATCAATTGGTTAAAAAAATATTTACTTGAGAAATTATTACCCCTCCAAAACTATACTCAAAGGATTTCTAAAACGGAAAAAACTAACTATGCATCCTTAAAAGTGACGTCGATAAAGAGTAGCTGAAGAGTAGTCATTGAGTGGGGATGGGGCTTTCATTAGTGTGCAAGTAGACGACGTGCTCACATATTTCGGGATCATAGGTTCGCATAAGGAAACAGTAATACAGAACGTCTTTTTGGACTAGTTCAGGCCATAGTTCATGATGTATAATGAGGAAATACCAGTGTATGATTGCAATCAATCCAATCTTAAGGTGGTGAGAAGTATAAAATGTAGGCAAAGAACTGCTTGAATCATCTGAATTCTGTATACATTGACTAAAATATATGTACAAAGAAACAAATGTATTTTCATAGATGATGTATTTATCACGTGCTAGCAATAATCTAGCTTGGTTCCATTTTAGTTCACCTCTTCGTATATGAGCATATGAATAATAAACTTTGTCTCTAAGCCTTGACATAAAGATATAAATTGTCTACCCCCTGTTTGCATAGCCATTGTGAATGATTTGATGTGTTGTACAAGTTGTAATTTTAATCTCTGCGTTGTTTTTCAACAAAATATACACACGGTGATAGAATACAATTGATCACTTATAAAATCTATTGACGTTTGCATAGGTCGTAGACCTGCATATGCTCATAGCGTTGATTAGAAACAATCTATGGATTTGGGTTAGCATTGAAGTATATATACTTTTTATTGATTGAATTTGTACTGACCAATTTGTGCTAGCCAGTTGATAATTACAAATTGTATCCAATTGTTAATAAGATTCCGGTGGTCGTCAAATCTTGATCACTTTGAATATAATGAAACCTCATCTTTTTATCTGACTCTAGTTAAACATTGGTGTATTATTCTGGTTGGATAGAGTAGTAGACGGATTTAAATTATCTGTCATTATATTATGTTAGCCAAAGCAGTTTGTCAGGCATTTTTTACCGGTTATTGCGGTTAGCTGTCTATCAATATTTTTGACGGTGTTGTGTTCCCTGAGCCGGATGGTTTAATTGTAGGAATGGGATTCTTCTCAACTGGTTGGTATACATTTTGGTCTGTAAGTCGTCCGCCTTTTCGATGTAGTCGTCTTCAGCCATGATTACTGTAGTGCCCCCTTGTCAGCTGGAACTATAACGATGTTCTTTTTATTCTTCAGTTTCTTAAGAGCTCTATGTTCTTCACTGGTTAGTTGAGTAAAGTTTTGGTTTTGCCTGGTCAGAAGTAGAAGTACGATTACTTGTCATATTTCTTGAAGTCTTCAGTGATGACTCTAGGCCTGTGAAGGATTCTGGTCTCGAAGTGTCTCCCGTACTGTAATTTGGTCCTTTCTGAAGGAGAAGTTCCTCAGATATGATCAGAGGTTGTTAGAACCAGTTAACTGCACAGTCGCTTGCTTCTTCACCTTCTAATCCTCGTGGTTTTGAAATCTTGGCAAGCTTCTCTCGAAGAATGTTCTTTGTGTCATCTTGATTTTTCAATCGCAGTTGCCAACGTTGTGAAGTGTTCTGTTATCAGAATCGCCTGAAGCCTTCTCGTTTGGCTGTCTATTGTTTGTTGATATTTCGGAATCCTATAGTGACGATCGATGGTCATCAGTTGTACTAAGTGTCTTCCACTAATTTCCAGCCCATTGGACAGTCGATAGGTAGTTTGGTATTTGATATTAGTTGGCAGAACATGCTGGCATAGACACTCGTGGAGAAAATATAACTATCTCTTGTGGAGGCGTCTCTTGGGGAATTTCTCTCATTTCAGGACAGTAAGAAGAGTTTGACGTATAGCCTAACTGAAAATAATCTAAGAGATACGTTCGTGGATAAGAATTTAGCAGTTTCGTCCGATTTCCTCTTAACTTGTGCACTGTCTGGATATGGTGATGAATATTATAATTCTGTCATTAAGTAGTGTTGGTGTATGTCTTATATTACTATCGTTTGACTTGATTTCTTGTTACACTTGTATGCTACTAATAGTCTAGTTTTTGTTATCCATATATCGTGTAACTAACTAGAATGATTATTTGCACTTGTATATCTTTTGCAGGCAACACAAGTAGCCATCGCCCTGTACAGTCTACCAGACGATTTCGTCCTGGTCCTCGTTCCCTCCTCTGCTGGATCAATCCTAGTAGCCTACTTCCCGTGACTATTTCTCAGTCTACAGAATCTCCTTCACAGGTTCAATCTTCCAATAACAAAGTCAACTTGTACACTGATGATGAAATTCAGTCTTGTGATCATGAGTCATACGATCTTTCCAATGGTGTATTCGGTGGTTTAGTGCTTCATTTAGTTGATGTTGACCTGGATTGCAGTGAAGATGATAGTTCTATTAGTCCGATGATGAATGAAAATGTTTTTAAAGGGGATGTGGAAATCGGTCAGAGAATAGATAATTCTGGTCTGGAACGGCTGTTATCAGTGAAGTCCAATAGGTTCAGTGCATGGTAAGTTAGTTTACAGAGTAATTTTGTTCCCCTTATTCATTGTTTTTATTCAGATCAGTATTCTTATTCGTAGTACAGCTACCAGCAATTCACACATGGAATGAACTATGCGTTTCGCCATATCCATGTTCAGAAAAAAATCGTGCATTATCCCAGTACTGGGCATAAATATTTTGCTATCCTGCACATATAGTTGTGTTATCTTAGATTATCTATCTTATTGTTGGTTGTGAGATTCTGTTTGCATTCCCTGGCGGTGACTGCGTTCATCCATACTCACTTACTTTTATACTCTCTTTGGACAGCTGTACGCTTGTGCTGCACTGTAGGCTTATGCAATTGAATTAAATATTTTCTGTTAAATTGTTTTGATAACATTTTTTTATCCTCAGACTTTTGGTTGTGCTCATCCATATTCTCTATTCTCACACCATTTCATTACCTTTTGAATCAGCGGGGAGTAGTTCATGGTTTGAATGTATACACTAAGTGGGCCACATTCGTTTGATGTGCTGTGTTGTCATCTTCCATCCAGTTATGAGTTTCGTACAATTAATTTGTTCCCGGGCGATTATTAGAGGTGAAATGAAAATTTGGACCGCGGCCGGATTCGAACTAGCCACTACTGTGTTTCTGACCCGGCGGTCCAAATTTTCATTTCACCTCCAATCATCACCTAGTATCAATACTAGTCTGACAAACTACGGTTATCTCAGATAATCAAAATGATAATTAATTTGTTTATCTGTCTTGAGACTGTTTGTCTGCAGCATGTCACGATGATTTCTTTTTACAAATGTGTTAATGATAAACTGAAATTGTTGCATAATTGATGGTTTGCGTAGTAGTAACTAACATGAAGAAAAGAGAAGATAAATTACTATATCAAGTGGTCACTTGTTGACAGTAATTAGAGACAGCGAGGTGGGGGTGGGAGGAGCAAGATGGCTGTAACTAATAATGATAATGATAATAATTACCGCCGTCTGTGGGATGGATAAGTGCGAGGGTGATGTTTTCTACGGATAAGCTATATATGCAGGCCAAGGCAAAGAAAGAGGCTGTACGAATTTCTTCTGAAAACACATAGACTTGGCTTGCTCAGGTAGATTCTGACGGCTTTTGCTCTATGTAAAAGACGAACTCCTAGAGCATGGTTGAGATTAGGAGGACTGGGATAAATAACTTTAAAGGCTTTGTGAATATTAACTTACTTTTCGAATAATTTTGCAGGCTTTTCGACTTACGTTTTGGGTTTTTCTTTCCACACACTTAATTGATACGCACTGAACTACAATAGTAATTAAAAACACTCCTCATTAAGTCTTTCTGCGTTCGAGTAAATGCTCTACGAGATGAAATGAGAAAATTGGAGCTCCTTTTTCTCGTCAATACAGTCAGATAATTCATGTTTCAAAACTAGGTTTTACTTTGTGACTTTTTATTGGCATCTAATTGTCTTGTCTCTAACAGCTTTACCACAAGCTTTTAAAAAGGTTTATTGCAAGGAGGTGAAGTTATCCAAGTAGTAGATTAATGACAACTGATCCAGACATTTGTCAGGACTAGACGTGATCTTGCAAAACAATTCGATATCTTGGTTGCTTCCTTATTGAGAATATGATATCCTCTTTTTGATGTAACATCTACAAAATGTCATGCTACCTATTTTTGAGAAATACTAAGCTTTCATTTGTTGGTTTTCCTCATCTAGTGTAAACAGTTTCGGCCTTAAAGAAATCAATTATTGTTCTACTTATAATATCAGTCAGGATTTTAGTCTACTCAGAATTTGTGTTCATTGGAGTAGGTGTTAGGTTATAATTCATGTGATAGATGCACAGACAGACAAGCAAATCGACGTAGATAGAACTTGGCGCACAAGTGAACGAGATCAAGTTGCCCACACTTCACAGCAGTATGCAAGGAAGAAGTAAATAGTAGAAAAGTGATGGTAAAGCAGATATTAAAGTCTGTAAAAATTGAGAAAATAAGTATATGAAAAATAATGAAAGTCTTTAAGATTTTGAAGATGACAAAGAGTGTATACATATGCATCATTATGACTGATTTTGAGTCATCTCAACATTGATTCCTATTATCTTGAGGACTCTTCACCCTTACCAAAGGTTATTAGTGGTCTAGTGGATAACACTCTGTCGTCTGTGGGGAGTGGTCTGGGGCTTAAGTCTCAGTGGGAACAACATCACTAATTGGGAGGTAGTACACCCAGCTGACGAATCTAAAATAGAACGGAACGCGCCTACTGAATTCCACTTCTGTGATCCTTTACCTTCCCACATGACTCACACTAACGATCAGAGACTTCATGGATTGGTGCTACTTTTTGCTTTTACTGTTCTTAAGCTTCTTCCAACCCAATCCTACTTCAGCTAACGCCACACGTTTAGGTAGGTCGTGATTTGACATGCGTAGCACATCTCCGAGCCATCTTTGTCGGTCACAGTTCACAATTCTATCTTCTCACTTGGCTTCCTTGTCTAACGCCCTAAGCCTAACACCCTGACATTACTCACACGGTGATCCCACCACATATAAGCGATGCTACCCAGACACGAATGATCAAAAACTTGTGACTTTGGTATATCTTCTGCTTTCAAATCCCATATCTCACAACCATTCAAAAGGAAAGAGCTAACTGTGCTGGGGAATGCACTTGTCCTTAAATAATTATCAGATATCCTACAGGTGCTAGAAACAGTGTAAGTTATGAAGTACGAAAGAAGCTTTTGGAACGTGAGCGAAGATGTCGTCAACAACCAACCAATTCAGGATGATTTTCAATGGATTACATGCTGGATAAAAAATAAATACATGTTTATAACCGAATCCCTGTCTACAGTGTCTACTATTAGACTACGAAACTCAAATACTAATCCGTGTAATTACTAGCTCGTTCTCCTCTGAGAAGATCGAATACTCATCCGCTAGGTATTCTGAAAGTGTGAAAGCCTCCTTTACATAGTTTCTATGTTAGTGTTTTTTATATTTTGCAGTGAGTATTACAAACTATGATATTTAGGTGTTTTTCTCATTCATCTTATCTTCACTTCCTTTGTATAGTTGTAGAAAACGTCATGGAATTAAAAAAACAATTGCTGCTGTCTGGTCCAGTCCTCAACAGTTTCAGACTATTTTAATCCACCCACAGATGATAATACACCATCTACCTGATCGAATACTAGAAGCTGTTAGATGCCTCCAGCAAGTCTTACTCCTAACATCAACTGACTTGTCAGATAGAAATAGTGTTAATGGCTTAAAATCATGCGATTTTGTACGGAAATTGAACAATATATCCTAATTTCGTTATGTGAAGAATTTTTTACCCTTTATTCACCATATATAGTAATAATAATGCAATAATTTATTTACCAAATTTTACCTAGTAATTCTACAAGTTTGTCCTTTTGACACTCATGAGAGATTTGTATCCCCCTTTCGACCCTGTTTTTATAATGAGCTAAGTTTACCAGTGTATGACTTTTATATGACTTTCTTTTCTGAGTCTTTATTTTTCATAGCATTTTTTTGGCACGATAATGCAGGCACAGAACAGTACAGTATGACCAATTGAATAATCCTCTTCCTACGCATACACAGTTATACTTTGTTGTCCCACCGCGCACCAAGCCAAAAGTCAAGTCACCAACGGCAAGTAAATTTCGCCTCTTACTAGACCCTATGCAACTGTTTGAAAAATTTTTCTTCTCGAAAAATACTTGCTACAGTTTGAGACTTTTGTGCTAGGACATTCAAGCGAGATTAATCCCTGATATTTTCGCCTGTGTAGGATGTCATACATTCTAAAACCATGCTTTTCAATTGTATTTCATCAGTTCGTTTTCTTGTATTCCTTGTTGTTGTTGTTGTGGGTTATATGCCTGTATACATGGTTCGGATATTTTCATTCATTCATTTTCATTCGTTGCCAGAATTCGTATTTCATCGAGTTGTGTCTGAAGTTTGCTCTAGCCTATGGTTTAAATAAAAGTAGGGAGAGATGTAGACGTTATACCACTGCAGAAGGTGATAAACTTTTGAGTGTTTCTTTGAATATCTTGAAGTGCAGAAATAATAATCAGCCTTGTTCGTCCATCCTAATTTTAATTGATCACTGCTATTGTGTTTTCTGTCGGCAATCGTAATTCAAGGAGAGTGACTAGTTGTATTATTTATAACGTGCGATGCTGTGATCTATATTCGTCTTTCGGCGATAATAATTAGAATTATGACCAGTTTGTGTACCTTTTCTACTGTTCATGATGTCCACTACTACCGGCAGTATTTATTGTCTATTCTTTTTTTTTAATTCGGTAAATTTTTCCACCTCTGTCAGTAAACGTATTTAGTAATCTCTTATCAGACCAAACCATATAAATCTATCTACACGTGTATGTATGTATAAAAGTTATTCAATTAATGTAAATCGTGTGCACTTCCCTGTGTTCTTTTTTTTATTGACAAAAACCTTATCGGCATCTGTGACTACATACCTCAGGCTATAAATTCATATGGATACTTTTTTAAAATATTTAAATTAAAACGGATATTTTCACAGGAGCTCGTGTTTTTTTTTTGTTTCCACTGCCATATGTTCTTTGATTGGTGGTTAGTGTATTCAAAAGTTGAATCTGTTTACCCCAAATGGTTAGTGACTATTTAAATGTTCATAATTCTGTATCTGCCTAGAATAAATATTGTTAGCGTCTTTTAATACTGAAACAGTCGCCGAATTATTACACATTTAGTTGTATCAATATCGCAGACTAAGTATTTATAGCTTTCACCAGTTGTCTGGACATGAAGAAATTGTATACAGTTTACTTTCATCCCTCTCGTTTCGTCGTAAACCGACGACATGATCTTCAATTCATACACAGTAAAAGCATGATGAAAAGCACAATGTAGGTGACACCAGTGTTCACTAAAGCAAATACGAGACTGTAATGTAAGCCTATATAAACAACTCACAAATCAAATTATTGTATACATTTTTTATTAAACTACCTGTCCATCCGATAATAGAGTGACTTGCAACAACTAAAATAACCAACCAAACTTCTCTATTTTACGAAAATCTACCCTTCTAGCCTAAACAAAGGAACCTAATTGGTTGTTTCGATCGTCGCTAGGGTGGCCTTTAAAGTCTCTTGAATAATATGGTCTGAGTCACAAACTAGAACCTACGATAAGGTATCTCATAACCGTTTCAACCAATATAATGAAATTTAGAAGCAGTGCGATCGTCTACACAGGATGCAAACTGTTTTGGTGGTAATTTTTTATAAAGCGAGAACGGTAGTTTAGGTGGAATTGTTCGAATTTACTTTATGTGCAAGTTTCTCTTCTGGTGGTTACCAACTTCGACGTTTTGGCTTCAGAATTAGCATCAAATAACAAAACAGTCAGCAAGAAAGTCATTTTCTGTGATAGCGCTGTCAAATTGCACGGTCGCGTATAAATATTATACTTACTCGGTAACGAAGAGGAATATTTCATAAATTACAACTTAACAAATCTCATTTCAACTAAAATGTTGAAGATTATGTATTGTGAATGTAGTAGTTAGATAGTAACTCAGTAATATCAAACTACTAAAGTTAATGATATTTTACACATTATGTTATTTAAAATGGATTGATAAGGTTGAATAAAATATAATAACAAAAGGTTGTTGGACGTGTATTGTGCTTATACATTACGTTTATGACAGCTCAAATGACTGAGCAGACCTGGACACAAAGTTCGGTCTTCAAAATATGACTTACCATAGTTTTCACATTTTTACAGTAATTTTTTGCTGTCTGTAAACAACCGAATAAAATATTTCGGGGCTGTTTAAAGTACACAAACAGTACACTGTATTAATGACATAGGGTTCTAACTCTTGCAAAATACATAATCACCTCCAGTCAGCCAAACTTCAATCAAAAGTTCGATGATACTAAGTGGGATTCAATAAAAGTAGTAGCAGATTCTCTGAAAGTTTCTCTATTTATAGGTAAACAGATAGAGAATAGCTAGTCACCGGCAATAGGATAGATCTAAAAGTGACAGATGGGTAATCAACGTTGAACCTTGCACAGAACTACATCGAATCAAGTCGCCACAGTTCACAGTAGCATACAAGTGGGTAGAAAAAGACCGATATCAAAGTAAATATAGGTGTATGGAATGAGAAGGAATTTGAAGATAAGGGTTGGTGAAAATATTCATGCTTTAGAAAACGTGAAACGGTGAATACATCTTCGCTATTGTAACCAATTCTCAGCCATGTCATCAAGAGTCCTCAACAACTGATTCCTATCATCTCGCGGACCTCACTCAGGTAGTGTAAACCTACCTACGCGGGTAGTATACAGAAAAGAAGCTGGAAAATGGAGTGTACAAAATTTATGACAAATGCGTTGCTGAAGACATTAGATAGATAGACGACCTAGGTTACTCATACTAATAACCACAGAATATTCGAAACTGGTCTTTTTTCAGGGAATGCTTCATTTTTGAAGCTGATGCTAATGGAGAATGTCATTATTTGAAGTCAGACAATCGGAGAAGTTTGAAATTGATCAGAAAGCAAGAATGATGGCGGCATGAGTTAGTAATACTGCTTAATACGATATACGATATAGTATGAAGCAACCATAGTGGTTTTAGATATTGGAGATCAACTTGTAGGACTTCTTGGCGCTCATCCGCAAAGTGTACCATCAGCTATGAGGAAATTGGTGTACTCCCAATGACATAAACCTGCTGTATCGGAACGTGGTAGGAAACTCCCTTATAGGATATATGCAGCTATATTTGCATTTACTGTCCTATCATTACATTTGTAAGCGAAGATAATCTCACTGACTTATTTCCATACTCTCGTTGTTGCTCAATGTCATAAGAATATTCATATCACTTCCTCTCTCTCTCTAGCTCGATAAATTGATTTCCGTAGATATAACCACCTTAATCGTGCTTTATCTTTGAAATATATTTTGGCTACACGTAACTGCAGGATACAAAGCGCACTAAATAGTAAGAACTCAGTCGTCTCTTTTGAATGAATCGAAACCTGTCTTTGACTGTAAGCTAAATTCTGACCAGAAGATTTGTATTTTGGTCCTTACACTTGCGTCACTCAGAATTGAGTTTAGCGACTTGAATGCGTTTCTGTTCGTACCACAATTGACCACTAAATATGACTAGAATTTGTACAAAACCTGGTCTCCAGTGAGTAACCCATGCAACTGGTTAGTCTTTAGTGTTTAACACTAATCGGAGTCGATTGATAAGCTCTCAACAATGAGGACTGTGCAGCTATATTGATTACCCATTTGTAGCCAGTTCATGTCAGTAATTATGGTAGTACACGAATAAGCAGGCAGGAAAGATCATCTTGAAACTCCTCCAGATACACCATGTTATGTTTCAAATTGGAAGTGATAAGGGTCACTACCCTATCTGGTCAGTCAGATATCAACTAACTAACTACTGAGTGGTCCCTGCATTGGTGGCATGCCACATGAACAAACTAAACACCATGTGAGAATTCTGTTAAGAGACAAGAAAGTAGGTAACTATCAATTCTCTTAGCTTTGACTACACAGAATTTCATCGAGTATTCAACAGATATTAGCATTTAGAGGTACCAAAATTCGATTGGGTTGCCGATCCTATATGCAAGAATGCACTAAAATTCATAAGATATATTTCTGAAGTAGAAGAATTATCAGCAGCTACTTTAGAGAGAAAGACATACTAAAATGACAACTAACGGCTCTATAGTTGAACAGGCTGTCATAGAAATTCTCCACAGGTGGACCTCAAAGCCATGAGTAAACTGTTAGTAGAAAAATACAAAAAAGTATTACTTGTTGATACCACCAAAAGTTCAGTGATGAATCATAACACTGTCTCTCATCATCTGAATCTATATCGCTCTTTATCTTGGGAAACGGAGATGTCATTGCCGACTGTCGTTGCCGGCGTAAATAGACAATCAATCGTCTTTTTCAGGTAGTGAAAAGATAAAACAGAAGCACATTTACTTATTAACACTAATGCTAAAGCGTAAATGATCTCACTCACTCCTACCGTAAAAACCCATTTAAACCTAACATTGGTACTGTAAGAAGCAAGCAGATAGTCAATTAACACATACGAAACGTGACTCCACACTGGTTTTCATACACAAAATCAATGGGAATTTTTCATAGCCGACATCTTACTCCTAATTATCCTTATAAATTTCCTCCAGTACTATGAACTGTTAGTTCACTCTACTTGCTGTAGCATAGCCGTATTCACGTATTCTACCTTTATTGCCACTTCTAAAGTGGAGTCAATAAACGTGGTCGTTTTGTAGGAAGCTTGCTATATTGTATACGTTGATATATTTAGTAATAGTCTTATGATGTGATACTTTTTAATTATCTTCATATTAAACACTAGTTTGTGTTTTTGCCAGTTTCGAACTTACTGTTTGATTACCAGTGCAACTGCATATTTTATACTTCCCATTACCTCCTGTCTTCACATGGTCATACATAGGTAGTTCAGTAGTGCTTGATATATTGAAAAAAGGAGCGGTATTTCAGGAAGCATAATTCTGAAATTACAGTTAAATACGGGCCCAATAAATTGGTGAGCTTGACGCTATCATAGCTTCTGGAAAATTTCTTTGTTCGCAACTTGTGGATATTAGTAATAATAAAAATATTAATAATAATTGCTTTATTCCGAATATGTATGATCCCGTATGGAATTTTCAACATAGAATATTTGAACAAATTCGCTTTCTGTACAATATTTTCGAAAGAAATGATGATTACGTCTTCATAATGTTAATAAAACAGTATTAAATGCAAAATGTGAAGCGGGCAGCCGGTGTTACATTAACATCTGATTTCGAATCAGAAGTGAACAGAAAATCGAGTGTATACAATGGGAAAACGTTACACCGTTTGGAACTGGATTTGTGAGTGCTCAAAAATACAGCACATTACTATTCCTAGAATACCTGTATGGGATTTTGAATTTTATTTTCTTAATCCTACCAAACACTACTACTAGCTGTATACGACTGGGATATATACCACGAAAATTTCCTGTTGTTATGTGGTAGGCATTTACATATTGACATTACTGTATTTCAATAAACTAAAAATTCCTATATACATATTTTGAAAAGAGATTGGATTCGGCGAATAAATATATTGCTTTTCAATCAGATCTTCTTCTTTGGCTTGTAGTGCACCTTCCTGGCACCAAAATATAACTAGGGCTAAAATAAATAGTTTAAATTAAATTAACTAAATAAATCTCTAGCTTGCCTCCGGATGCTTAGGGTGTTTTAAGTTTTGTTTTAACGAACATGCATCCGAGCAGGCTTGGACGCCATTTTTGCGCTCCATTGTGCTGATCACCACGCACGTACTCCGAGTCCCTAGTTCAGCCTTACAAGCCAGATAAGTTGATTAAACTTTTCCCTCATTCACTATTATAACATTTACCTAAAATACATAGCTCCTTTAAATACATTGCATATCAGTTCTTTTGATTTGTGTTTT